ACAACAGGTCACAAGAGTCTAAAAGGAATATTAAGTATGTTCATTATTCAGGCGTAGCTATGACTGTGAGAGAGCCGTGGCAATCACGTTAAACGATAAACACAGAGGACAAGGAAGACGCCTACAGGTTCCCATGGGACAGATTCCAATTAACAGTCAAGCTTTCTCCCTGACATGTTGGCTGGCTCAAGAATGTGAAGAGACAGAAAGACAGAGCAAGAGAATGCATTATTTATTAGATGTGAAATGTCTGCACTCTATGATTGGAGGTAGCTGCAAAATTAATGCCCTAAAGACTTTGAGTTTCATATTTCATTTAAAATAAAGAAAAACGGTTTATATGGTCTGTGTAACCTTTTTTTTGCACTATTTGCCTTATTAGCAGCGTGGCTCTATAGTTAAAGGTCAATTCACAATTTTGATCCAGACCGTAACATGTAAGAAGTCATTTATCTCCGTCAGTGAGAAATATGCTTTCCTGCCAGGATCGATTTTTATGAAAAACATGAAACATGAGAATTGTTTTCCATTTTCCACTACAGCATTTGCCACGAGAATCTGAAACCTTTGTGACTGTAACTAAGTTAAGCCAGCATGTAAAAACTACAAGCGTAGCTAGCTGAGATTTTGTACACACAGTCATGTTTGATTTAACTTTGGCTGGTCTTTCATTTTCTTCTAGCACCATCATCAGGTCATACTTTCATTTGGTCCAGTACTCTGGTTTATTACCAGATATTTCTTACATAAATATTTTATTAATCCTCTGAAGGTGAAATTCAGGTGTTACAGCAGCGGAGCAAAAATTACACTAAAAGTAATAATATACAACATAAAAAGCTATATAGTGTAAACTGCACAATAGAAGAATGGCAATGATGATAATAATAATAATAATAATATGTGCTAATTAAGTGAAATAGATAGTAAAATGTGTGTAACATTTGTGCAGAGTAAAGACAATGGTGACAGGGAGGCAACAATCACATTAAAGTGACCATTGTCATTAGTGCAATTAACCAAAATCAGGCTGAAATTAAGGGGTTACTGGAGCAGTGATGCCGGTTGTGGAGTCTGATGCCAGCAGAGAAAGAGGACATACAGTAGTGTTCCTGCACACACTGCAGGTGGAGCAACCTGTCAGTGAAGGCGTCCTCTAAGGGGCATGAGGTACTGTCCATGCCAACAGTTTGCTCATCATGCTAGGAGTCGGTCTGTCCTGTCTCTTTCTGTCTGCTGCTGCAATGCCAATACCACAACGCACCACAGTACAGAGGATGGCTGTTGCTACTACAGAGTCATGAACAGTGTGGGAAGTGTTATCACCATGACAGTGACAATGCATGCTGACATTAGTGTTAGCTAAAAACACCGCTGTGCCTAAGTACAGCCTCACAAAGCTGCTAGCTGGACTTTAGACTTGTTACAATATCTCTGTGATCATGTGGAATATGGGTAAATGCAACACTAATATAGTTCACAGAATAAAAGATTGTCAATTATGCTTTTAGTACTTTTGTATTTGTAGTCCTTCCCCCCTTCTAAACAAGCTTTTTTCACATTGTGTAAGCACTTCTCTATCTTCCTATCTACAATCCAGGGCAGCTCCCCTTATAGCCTATTTTTCTTCACAATCACTGTCAAACCTAACTGTGGGCAGGTCTGCTTTTATGCAACAGTTCCCCTCCTGATTCCTCAAAATGTTGCAGAAACTAAAATGTCTCTTTTTGTCTCAGACCTTTTTAGAGAAACACCCTCCATCCTCCCTCCAGAATTTTGGCCCCTCAGTCGCTCAGCATCACCAGGGCCTACAGTTTCTGCTTGTGGCAATTATCAGAGCTGGAGGATCCTTAGAAGAAAGGAGAAGGAGGTGTTCCTTCCCTCCTCTGGAGCAAAAAACTGAAATTAATCCTGTCCCCCAGGGAACTAGCCGAGTGAATTTTGAAGACTACAAATTAAGCTAACAGTTTACCAAGGAGAGAATCAACCTTTCAAATACAGCACATGTGGGTTGGATGAAAACCAGGCTATTTTGTGGTCGGCTTTGCAAAATCAGTGTGCCAACTCTCCCTGGCTTAGCAATGGCTTTCACCAAGTTTCCTTCTTTTCAAATCCACTTGATGACTGAAGTGAAAAAGGCGTTACCTATAAGAAATTAAATCTTCTCTAAAGACATCAGCTGATTTTGTGTGTGTATGCCAAATTAAGCATTTTTGCTCTAAAGTATTTGTTATTATTATAAAAGACCATCACATGCAACATTAAGGTAACATTTTCAAATCTATGCGTCACCTCCACTTTGCACACATGCTGCTGATCGTGGCTACTCTCTGGTTATGGGGACTATTCATACTCCCACTGGTCACCACGCTGCACACAAAGGCTGATGTTACTGGGGGAGACAGCAGCCCTTTCAGCGCTGTCAAACAAAGAGAGGGTGGAGCTGCCTCCCTAAGACGTGAGGGCAGCTGTGTTGGCTTTTTTGGAGGAAAGATGAAGACAGCAAAAAGCAAACTAAGAAATCTTTTCAAAGAGCAATCAGGGTTTTGCATTTTGGTGAGACATTTTTGCTTTGCAGTCTTGAGGTTTTTTTTTTTTTTGCACTGGTAGACAGCACTGTGACAAATTTTTCATTCTATTTTGTGGTCCTCACTTCATCTGCACAGAAATAATAGTGTCTGCCACTTCCCTCTGCTCTTTCTGTTCTTCTCCATTCCAAAAAAAAATCACTTATTTACTACCTGCTGCAGGCCAGGAGAATGTGTCACTATGTAGCAAAGAAATTTTCCTAGCAGGAAATTAGGAAAAACAAATGGCAAAGCTTTTATTAACAGCAAATGAGTTGAAGCAGTAATAAGCTATTTAATGTTAAACAGCAATCCCAATTATTAAAACAGACACTAATTTATATGAAAATGTGGATTATGGCTTTAATAAAGTCACACACCTTAGTCACAAAGGTGTAGAAATCAGCATTATTTTGTGGTTTACATGCTTCAGAGACCAGGATGAAACTATAAGCTCAATAATAAACCACCAGGCATCACAAAAACATGAAAAACTGTTGTACAATGTAATCCCACCCCCACCCCTAGCCCTGAAAATGCAGCCTGATTCAGTAAACTGAGGTGTTAATGTATTCCAGCTTGGAGAACACAGAGGCACACCGTGTACACTGATGACACTAATGACAGAAACAGCACTGTCGAGCTGCACATGCAACCACACGCATACACACAGGCATTTGTGAGGCGCTCAGGGGGAGATTTTCCAACTACCAAGTGGCTTGTTGTATAATATCAGATATTGCAGGCTGCATTTCCTGGGGACTTCTCTAAGGGTGTAGTTTGTGTGACTGTGATGCTGACAGGACGTAGCAAACACGACTGACACATTCAGTCAGGTGGAACCTCATGTTTAAAATCTGGCTCATCAATGACATGTCAGGATTCTTGTAGATTCGAGGTTACTACAGAAGCTCATGAGCCAGGAAAATAAACAAATAAATAAAAGAAGCTAGTCATTAAAAAATAAAAGTGCTCATGATATGCAAATCAAAATGTGGAACCACAGCACTGCTAGAGCACATGCTCACTATAAACATGCCAAAATTTTGGCTTAGTAAGTCAAAATGTTGACTTTTTCTGAATTTTCAAATGTTTATTTATTCAGAGGATTTTATTTATTTGATGACAAACTTATTTTTTCCTGGCAGATTAATCAGCTTTCCTCCGGGGTGTCCCGCTGCCGTGACTCATGCATGCATATATATATCATAACTCGTGCAGCAGTGACTGGTGGCTCAACCTAAAATATCTGCACTTGTTGAAATGTGCTCATTGTCACGGGAATGTGTACAGTTTTATAAGGAGCATCTCTATTTCATCATCAGAGTCTGCTAATCATCTACTAATTAATTTAAACAATCTTACACCAGATTTACACATACAATTTTCTTCAAATTCTTCATTTTTAGAGGCATGGCCCAGTGTCCGAGGCCAAAAACTTGTGTAATCATGTGAAATTAAACACATGTTCACAGGACACATTTCTGAATAAGACAATGGGGTGACAGAGGGGTGTCTCCCATCGATGTCAATTAATTGATGCACAATAGAAAGTGTCAACGTCACTGGCAGGGTGTAAAGTAAGCTGACAGACAGGCCATGTCAGGAGGCAGTCTAGCTGTCAGCCTACTGTGTCCTGTTCAACATGTCTCCTCCTGTGACTGACAACCGCCCCAAATTAACTACCAACTGAAATGCGAACAGAAAGCACACACATTCACACCTGGTCTCTCTCGTCATGCACACGCTGAGTGCGTGACAGCTGCAGAGCTTCATCTTTATTCATTCACCACTAATTGACCTTATTTTTCAGTGCCAGATCCCGGTTAACCTTCAGCAAACAAAAACATAGTTTGCTTGCTGCATGTCAAACAGGGCCGTAAATAAAAATGTAAAAATAAGATCATTTTTTCCACCTAAAGGGTATTTTATTTATTGTGAAGTCACTAAATTGTTCCAGGAAAAACATAAAAGCCTCAGAACACTGATGTACCTTTCACTGCAAATGAAATGAAATTTGTTCCATGTGAAAAAAGGAGACTTTTACCAAAGCATGTCACTCTGGGTCCCTCTAGTGGGATAACAGAGAGATGACAAAAGGGTTATAGCCCCAGCCTTTACTCTCATACAGCACATAGGCCTGATAAAAAGCATTAAACACCCATAAACAAATGTAACTGCTAAAACATACAAACCAGTTTCCAGGTAATAATATATCAAACATCCAGAAATTTTTGTGCATGCTGTACCAATTCATATTTTCTGCACATGAGTGACATGCATAGAGGAAAACCATGGTGCTCTAATTCCATGGATAACTAATCATGTTTTAATCTTTTCTAGATTGTTTAACTTCTGTTCAGTTTCGTTTTAACTTTTCTGAGAAACATTAACACGTCAACTTTAAACTAAAAGGGGTCTGGCGATGTGGTTATATGGCTTCCGGGGTGAAACCAGCAGTTCGCGTACTGACCAAAGTTTGTGGCGCTATGGCAGCTTATTTTATTATGTGAACGAACCCAAAACATTTTAGTCTGGAATCGAATCTTGTAATCGTATTGAATTCTGTGGTCTTTGGACTGTAGTCCAGCCTACGGACTTTGTGTTATATGAAGTAGTCTGGTGCGTAACATGGACAAACAGCACATGACAGACGCGCTCCAGCTGTCCATAGACGGCCGTAAAGAGCAGCTGCACACTTTGAGTCGGGACATTTGGAGTCATCCTGAACTCGCTTTTAATGAGACATACGCGCACGACAGGCTGGTCCGCTTCTTTACTCAGGAGGAGCAGGCATGGACGGTCCAAAGTCACTACAAGCTGCCGACCGCATTCCGTGCCAGCTGGGGGCCAGTCGGCGGCGGGCATGGTGATCCCGTGATGAACGTGGCGTTCCTGTGCGAGTACGACGCGCTGCCGAGAATCGGGCACGCCTGCGGGCACAATCTGATCGCTGAGGTTGGAGCTGCGGCCGCTGTGGGGCTGAAAGCTGCTTTAGAAAACCAAAGGGAACTACCTGTCCCTGTGAAGGTAACTATGGGCAACCGGATGTTTACTACAACAGGCACAAAATAAACAGAAAGGTCAGGTGAGGCCATCACACAACACGTGACTCTGTTCCTTCAAGCTTAGGCAATCTGTCGTCCAATCTAATGCATCAAATAAATAGCACCCTTGGTCAGAAGCCTTGTATTTCTCGTTGGAAAGTAAATTGAGAAATCACAAGCTGACTACACAGAGACAAATACAAGAAGATGCAAAATGGTCACAAATTAGTGCATTTAGCAGAATATTGAAAGTTGTTTATTTGGCATTTGTTTACGGCCCCCTCCCCATTCAAAAGTTTCTAAACCTAACCTTAGTTTTGTGAATATTCAGGATGACAGACTGAGCTGATAACTGTGTGAGATGACTGTAATAAACACTTATTTAACCAGATAACGGTTCTGGGGACTCCTGCGGAAGAGGATGGAGGAGGAAAGGTTGACCTGATCAATGCGGGGGCATTCTCTGACG